GTGAAGCGTCCCTTGACTTTGTCTGAGTAGTAAATAGCACCGGAACTGGGGTTTATGCCTGCGACCCATTCCAGTCCTTTCCCTGGATACTGCCTCACCCAATGCATCCAGTAGCTGCTGAAGGTGTATCCGGAAGCTTGGCAGGAGAGATGGAGGGACTCTCCAGGTCTTCTCACGTCCCCTCCGGACTCCACCAACTGGACCTCTGACTGGACACCTAGAAGGAAACATTGTTTAATAAGACCTTCTGCAGGTAAACACAAAAAAAGGGGATAAAAATCATCTTTTTGGAGGGAAAAAATAATACCTCTGAGGACTAGTGATAACAATATGAGGCTTATCCACAGTGTCATTTTTGCTTGCCCTAAAGATCAGAGGAGTCTTACTGATGGGAAAAAATTCAGAGAAGCACCCAAACTTTGTGTTGTTGGGCGTAACAGGGGAGCAGGATCATATGGCTCCTTTGAGCAGGAAGCTGTCACTGAATTTGCATAGCCCGCAGCATAAAAGAGCCATGAGATGCCCTGACTTTTTAAATTTCCTTCAACCTAAAGACATATAGACATATAGTTAAAATGCTGAAGAACTCCCAACATCAGTCAAGGCACAATTTCTAAATCCTTAAGAAATGAGTGAAGCAGCAGGTTTATCTTATTGGAGGTAAAATCATGTCTTGCAACATTAGAGGTCATATGACTGATTTGAGCAGGAAACTGCTGGTGAATTCCTGTAGTTTTCTTCATCAAAATGCCAATCTCTGCTCTGACCTTGTAGAGATTCCTGAGGCTATGTTACGCACGTGATATTTGGATGATGAACCAGTCCAAAGCCCATCAAATTGTTATATAAAAAGGTGGAGATTTTCAGGGGTGGAAAGATTTTCTTTCAAAACCTTCAACTCTGAAAAATCTTTCTACAATTAAAACTCAAAACCAACATGGAGAAATAGCCATACAACAAATTTTTATAACCACACTAGAAACAGAATGGGAGGACATACGACAGTTCACTCAATTTGGTATACTACTTTCCCTTAACCATTATCTGTTAAAGAAATTAAAGTTAATCTGATGCAGGCTAGGCAATGAACAATGCTTTCCAAAAGACAAGGATTGAATTGAAAAAGCTAGACACATATTAAACCAATGAAATCACTTTAGAACCAAGCACATGGTGCTTTGACCTTCTAGAGTTCCTTCAACCTTCCTTTTAAACATATTTTGTGATGCTAAACAAGCTTCAACACCAGCTGAGATGGATTTCTTAATCCTTAAGAAGTAAGTCAAGCAGCAAATTTATTTTGGAGGTCCCTCTTTATCTGGGAATTGACCATCTTTCATTTTGGAGAGGGTTGTACTGCCCTAGACAGACTCGGTACGTATTCTGTGGGTCCTTCTGGACTCACAACTCCTGCTCGAGGATCAGGTGGCATTTGTGGCCAGGAGGCCCTCCTCCCACCTTCATTCTGTTCACCAGTCATGCCCCTTCCGGCATTGGGAGTCTCTCTGTTCAGTCACTCATCCAATGTCATCTCTTGGTTACACTATTGCAATGGGTTCTCTTGAAGAGTATCCGGAAGCTAAGCTGGTTCAAAATGCGGCCCCATGAAAACTCATTGGTGCCCCTAGTATGGCTCATATAACACTTTTTCTCTAGGTGCTGCATTGTGCACCATTTTGCTTACAGCTCTAATTCAAGGTGTTGGTTATTACCTTTCAAGCCATACATGGAACGGCTCCAGGTTACATGAGGAACCTCCTCCATTACATCAACCCTTTCCACCCAGTCAGGCAGAGGGGGAATGTTGTGGACCCCATCAGGGAGAAGATGTCAGCTGGCAGGGCCAAGGAGGAGAGCCTTCTGTGCTGTTGCCCCTGCCCATTGGAATGTTCTCCCACAGAAGTGCGGTGGGCCTCTACCCTCCCACTTCTCTGGAAAGCACTTAAGACCTGGCTCCAGCAACTTGCATGAGGCGATAAGAGTTTTCCTCAATCCTGGGGGTGTCTGGTGCCCTTCTGTCACTCCTGAGTTATTCACCAATTCATCATTCTTGGAATTCATTTATTATTTGCAAGATTGTTTTGATGCTGTTTTTTTAATTGATTTCATTCCTTTGTGAACCACCCAGAGTCTCTTTTCAATGAGATGGGCACTGACAAATTTGATATCTATAAACAAAAAAACGAACATTAAAGGACATAGACCTACTTTGAGCGGGAACCAGCTGCTGAATTTACACAGGTTTGGGGATCAATGTCCTACTCTGTGCTTTGAACTTGGAGATTGCTTGAGCCTTTGTTACATAAACCAATCACAAATCCATCAAGGTAATATGTTCAAATCTCTCAAAGGGATTAAGATTACTAAAAGAGGAAGGTTTTCTTTTCTTTTTCTTTTTTTCTTTTTTTTGCAAAAGCCCCAACTCTGAAAAGTGGTTCTAGAATCAAAACTCAAAACTAACATGCACAGACACC